CGAGCATAGATGACGATGAGTTTGATGAGATGCCGAATGGAGATTGGGCCTTTGATGTGAGCAGCTTCTTTCCTTGACGAACAATACTGATGCAATGTAGACGGTTCGGTCGCGAGCGAGCATGATGCTGCTCGACCAAAAAGCGCAGGCAGGAGAGGTCGATAAATGTATGTCAAACTCTCATGAAGAGATTGTTCGACTGACCTTCTACCAGCTCTATCGCCTCCAACAGCACGCCCAGCCCCCCAATCTTTGCGCCGCCTTTTTCACGACGAAACGTCCTCGGACCCAGACCCTTTCCAATCATTCGCTCACCAACAACCACCGACTCCGCAATCATCAGAAGACAACGGGACCGTAAAACAAACTGGCCGATTTGCTTCTCCCGAAGCTGATGACCCTAGCTCTCGCGAAGGGTCGCCGCCCAAGAACGAGTTTGATGGACAGACGATTCGGCAGGCGAGACTAGGCCGGGATGGGAGATCGCCTACTCCCCTCATGGTCAAGACGGACCAAGTTCCGTCCATCAACCTTCCTCTCCCCTCTGCCGACTCAAATGCTACCAGTGCAACATATCATCCTGATGAGCTGGAGCCTACGCCGATAGCACCTCGAGGTGACGGTCCGGTGCCATCTCCTCGACCGATACGGAATAAAATGAGCCTGGACAATCTCCCCTCTGCAGCTTCCTTCAACTCTCAGCCGCCTACGAGCAAGAGTTCCATGCAGCTTGGACTGGAAGATCGGTCCAAGAGTAGCTTGGGTATGAGTCGTCCGGGTGGGAGTGAAGCCCGAGATGGTCTGAGAGGATTTCAGTTCCCCCTGATGGGTCAATCTGGCCCACCGCCCGCAGGAGTGTCCAAACTCCAACCACCCCACCTCGGGCGAAATCACTCTGCCGCACCTGCTTTTCCTTCTGCCCTGCATAGCGACACCTCTCAAGGCACCCTGCCCTCCGCCTCGCCCACGGCTCCTTCCTTCCCTGGATTGAGCCCAAGGCCACCTATGATGCGCCAGGCTTCCGTGGCTGTCATGGAGAATCGTTCGGCAGCCCAGTCTCATGCCCAGGCAGCGCAAGCACAAGCTCTGGCGCTAGCACATGGACACGAAGGAGGGGCGGGCCTTCACAAAGGGCTGGCAGTTCCCGGGGGAATGGCAGGGATAGGCCTGGGGAGACCGGGGCAACAAGGAACCAGTCAAGGCATGGCGAGGACTAGGAGTGGGAGCAGGGCTGACGATGGGCATAATGTTGGTCTTCGCGATCTACTCAAGGTGCGTCATGTTCATACCCATGTCGTGCCCCGTGACTTACTCTCTTCCACAGCTCACACCCGCTGCACCTGGCATGCAAGACCTTCTTCCTCCCTCACCATCAGTCTCCACAACACCCCACAAACTTTCCCCTCGTCCACAACAGACGCACAACCAGCCAGGCTCAATACCGGCTCATCCGGCTTTCCCTGAGGCGGTCTCCAGTGCGTCTTTGCCGATGAGTAAGACGCCAAGTCTGGCGTCGCTGGCTAGCACTGTGCCCGCTTCTGCACCTGCACCGAATTTGGGACCAGTGTCGACTTCCACTGGACTTCAGAACGATTGGGGTCCGGTACCCGATGTCCGGTTAGGTCCACCTATACGTCCCTTGGATCTGGGTCACTTGGATTCGCAAGATGTATTTACAGAGCTGGAGAGTTTGGTGGATGATATGCAGAGCTGGCTTGGGTGCGTGGAGAATGGCTTGGAGGATCTGCTGCGGTTGCCTGAATCCGCGAATGCTTGATGCGGGGTTTTCCCAAGGGTCTTTTCCCGTTCTATTGTGTTGTTGTATACTAGATCAGACATTACGAGGATATCATGAAACGACGCGATCCTATGCATATGTGCATGTCCATGATATCGTGATCTACAGGATAGATAATGTCTCAAATAGAAAACATCAAGAGTCATTCATGAGTTGTAGAAATCGTAGAGCATCAAGGATCGTTCAAAGAAAAGTCGTTATGGTTCGTCACACTCGTATATCCTCCTACTCCGCTTTGGCAAACCTTTTGCTCCTCGCCTGCTGTTTCGCCTGCAGCTCATCAAGCCTGGACCTCAACCCTGCCAGATTGCTCCCGCTTTTGCTCGCCAGCGAAGACGAAGATGATGAAGTGGGTGGGGCAGAGCTCTTGCCTCCAACAGCTGGGACTCGGAAAGTGGGCGCTCTGGGTAGGGTACTTCCCACCCTGGGCCTGGGTGACTCGCCTGAAGCAGACACAAGGGGACGAGTACTTTTCCTCGCCTCGACAGACGGAGCAGCACGGGAAGAAGACAAGGTCGTCTGTCTAGCAATAGCAAGAGCAGGTGTAGAGAGAGCACGAGCCTTCAATCTCTCCGAGGCAGAAGTGGCACCAGTCGGAGCCCCAGCGGAACTTGACGGTTTGGTGGACAGCTTGGACCTAGCTTCGGTAGCTGGAGCGTTAGATGTCGTGGTGGCTCGGTTGGTCGTCGCTGTGCCGTCGTTTCCGAATGCCCTGGATGTCCTTGCTCTAGGGGCAGGCGTGGTGGCGGCAACGCCAGGTGCGACAGCCGACCTCGCCGATGAGCCTGTTCCAGGCCGGGGGAGGCCGGCAGGTGCGATAGATGGTCGAGCACGGGGGGCTCGGGTGGTAGGCAGGCCGGTACTGGAGAGAGAAGAGGTTGTAGCAGACCTGGGGAGTGAGCGGGTACTGGCTGAAGGGACTGCGCTCTTTGTTGAGGCAGGAGCGCGAGCGCCAGAAGCAACGGTGGAAACCGAGCTAGTAGTTGAGCCGACCCTTGGCTTTTGTGCAGTCATGATACTCTCTCTAGGGACGCGAGCCGTAAGTGTCGACGACGAGGTTTCCTTGACTCTGGCGTTTCTGGCCTCGGTCACACCGAGACTCCTCCCAGTGGTTCTGCTGCTCAGGGAAGAGCTGGAAGCAGACGTTGGCATTCGTCGGACACCCCCAGGGATTGCAGCACTTTGCGTCCTGGCATGAGCTGGAGCGCGAGTGGAAGGCAAAGTGATGGTCGTTTGCGAGGCACTCTCCGGCATTGGCATAGCCCCGGCCGATAGTGAGATACGGCGAAAGCCAGTCGTATGAGGCGCCACGTTGGTACGCGCTCTGTGTACGGCCGGGGTAACGGCAGAGTCGACAGACGACTTGTAGGTACGAGCAGAGGAGACAGTCATGGGGGGAGTAGTAGGGCGGGCGAGGGCAGACACTGCCTTGTCGGCCTTGACGCGTTGGATGATCTCGGCGACTTTCGACAAGCTTTTGGAGCGAGTAAGTGTTGATGGAGCGTCGGAAATTGGGTCTTCGCTGGCGAGATGGGCGAGGCCACGACTTGTCTGGGCGGTTGGCAAGCCCTGAGAAGACGGTGCTGGGCGAGTAGCCACATGGGGACGCAGTTCGGCAGGAAGCATCACACTTTCGTCCGCTCCCAGCATCGTCCTGCTTGCTATCAGCCGATGCCAACCATATACCAGAGGAACTTACATGTCCATCCTACCAATCATATCCTCGTCTTCCGCATTCAGCAGATCCACAAAGCTTTCCTCTGTACCCGAGGCTCGCTTGGGCTTGCCAACATTCGCCATCAGAGCCTTCACGTCCATGGTCATATCCCCCAGGCTGTCTTTGGGCATCGACATCTGCTTGTCAGGGAGGCCGCCGAGGCGATAGCTTTTGTCTTGCACCATGGTCTCTTTACTGAGCAGGTCCTCATCCCGAAGCGGATAAGCGGCATTGTGAAGGCCAAATGGTAAGAGTGTACTCTTTTCTAGCTCTGGTCTATACTCTGCCTCCTCACCGACGGCAGCTAGAGAGTGACCAGAAGATGACGCTGGAAATGTCCTCTTGGACTTGCTCTGAGAAGAAGATGAGAACTGAGAGGAGGGCGTGCCGCGAGAGCGGGGGAGCGATGGTGTTTTGGCAGATGAACCCTTGGTAGGGGAAGCCGGGCGCGAGTTCATGTTGAGGGTATCACTCGAGTCATCAGACGAGACAGTAGTCATTGTCGACTCGTTGCCTTTCCATGGAGGGTCAACTCGGTCAAGGGCATTGGTGGAAGCGAGCAGATGGGCTGGAGAGGAAGGAAAGATGGTGGATTGTGCGAGGTGCGCAGAGGAGGCTTGTAACCTGTTTCCCTGCCTGAGCTCGCTCACGCTGGACGGATCACTCGTCGGAATATTTCCCCCTTGAGGCCTGAGAAGGCTCATCTCAAAGTCTAACAGACTGTCATCGTCGACTCCGCCGCCGCCGAAGAGCGAGCAGTCGCCGATGAGAGAGCGGTCACCCATGTTTGGAAGACGGAAGGAGGCCGAGAGACGGGGGGCGGGGGCAGGCGACGGATTGGCGGGTTCACGATTCAGAGCAGGCGGATTCGAGGGCAGGGCTTGAGCGGGGGTCAAAGGGGAGGGTTGTTGGGAGGTTGAGCGATCCAATGTGTCGCCTTGCCCCTCTGGGCGCGCCTCACCAGCATCGATCGGCTCTTCTGCAGGCGTGACCTCCTTGGCCAGTGGGCTCCGTGCCCTCCTGACGCTCCCAGGGACCTTCAAATTTGCCGCCTGACCATCGCAAGGGTGCAGAAGCCCATTGTTTGGTTTGTTGACCTCGGGCGCGGGGGTGTTGTACTGGGACACAGACTTGGGGACGATGCCATCTGGGATGTCGTCGATGCGGCGGGAGTTCTTTGGAGTGTCGGGGAGGGGAGGGAGGTGGGAGAGATACTCGTCGAGCGGGAGGCCGTTGAGACCCAGCATGGCTCTAAGGGCTGTTCGTTAGCGGTGGGTGGGAGTTTGGCGGGGTGCTTACAGGGAGAGCCGCGCCTTCTGGTACGTGGTGGGGCTGGCCATGGGGAGGGGGAGAGGGGGAGCAGGGAAGAGGATCCAATTGAGGGTAATAAGTCAACAACGAAGTCAACAACGAATTGAGATCAACAACTTCCTGCCAGGCGGCGGCCATCACCGGCGCAACCTTCCCAGCAGAATCCCACGCAAGGAAAGACATGGCGAGTTACATGCATACTATACAACGAAGAACATGATGACCAAAATCATTAGACTACACTAGATGCCCGCGCTATTCGCTAGCAAGGTTCCATATGAGATTGGCCGTATAGACCTTGGATCGGGAGTTGTCGACGACAACCGAGTGGACATCGTCTTTGGCGTCGTTTCCTACGACACTTGGTTAGTAGGCGCTAGAGAACAGATCGTGTTTACCCACTGATCAGTATCTTGCTTGTGGAAGAGCCCTCTCTGGGTGGGACGAGCGAGAAACCAGCCTCAGAGAAAAGCTTGAGGCGAATACTGTCCCACCGTCAGCGATACACTACGTGTCCAGACCAAGCGACAGACACTTTCCCGTCAGCCCAGCTCTCTGCATCTTCACCAATCTCGACTTTTCCTATCTCCTCCTTGGATGCCTTCCATTTGCCCAGTTCCACCTCCTTCTTGGCCACAGCAGCTTGCTCGTCATTCAGTTGTTTGCCAGTCGAGTACTGCTGCTGTTCCAGAGATCTGACGTGAGCATCGTGCTCCTCAGGCGAGGGGTGGGAAGGGGGCCTTTGTGCGGCGGAAGCGGCTTGGTTAAGTTGGCGAGACAGCTCTGTAGCAGGATGAGCTTTGCGATGATGTGTGAAAACAAGAGACATTTACGTCGAAGATCATCACGTATCTTGTCGAGTATTGCGTTCCTTTCCGCATCTTTGGCGTTAACTGCCGCCTCTGCCGCGGCCAGATCGCCCAGCTCTTCATCTGGGGACAAATTTGGTCCAACATCCCTGACGATCTTGCTATGATGGTGTCAGCAGCGCGGCGGACAAATGGTTGTGGACATACGCCAATGCGGTCCACCTTTCTTCAGGGGTATCGTGCAGTTCGCTTGTGTCTTTCTGAGCGTACAGGGCGTCTTCGTCGTGGTGATGAGGCTGGGAGGGTGGTGTTGTCGACATGGCGGATGGGTGGAGACATGCCGAGGATTGTTTTTGTTTTTGCGTTGTTGACGCGACGCGCTAGGCCCCGGGCGCCTACCTAGATTCCCGCGGCGAGGAATAGGCGCGGGCATGTCGTCACTCATCTCTTTCTCTCCCTTGAGGCTTCAGGTGTCCAGGTGTCCTCGATGTCCACGATGTCCGCCCTCCCCCAGACAAAGCGACACACCCGCAAGCAGCTCGGAGAGAGAAGAGTCACCCGCGACCCCAGCAGCTCCAGAGACGCATCCGAAGAGGGTCAGTCCCACATCCTCCATCTCCCTCCCAGCTCACCCCCGCAGACAACGACAACATCGACAACTCCTTCTCAGACGTCGGCTCCGTCAATTCCACCAGGGAAGTCCTCTCAAACGCCTCCACTGTAGACTCCCCCAGCATGCCCCCTCCCACCTCTCTCCCGCCGTATGCGTCCGAGTCCAGCTCCCCGCGAAAGTCGCTCCACCAGAAGCGTGTCGAAGAGCTCGGAGCAGACAGCCAGAGCGAAGGCCTCGATTCACCAACGTAAGTCTTTGTGATTTCAGGCAGAAGCGACCTGCACTTGGCGTTTTTTGTGATCTCGAAACGTGTCGAGTCTGTGCTGACGACGGGCCAGATACGACGGTGATGTCGAATCTTCCTCCACTATTGGCGGCACCCCCGCAACAGCGCACCAGCCTCTGCGAAAGTCATCCCCCACCGCCCACCTCGCCTCTGCTCCGTCTTCGGGATACCGTCAGCCCACCCCCAAGGCCTCCCTGACCAACCTCGCCTCCTCAGACACGGCTTCCAACCGCCAATCGTCTGAATCTGAGCCCTACTACCAGCCCCGCGACGTCCCTGTCGCCCCTTCAAAGTATCTCGATGAAGCTGCCAGGAATCCGCCCAAGGACTCGCTCAATTCCAACTCGGCGGGAGGGCCCCCAAAGATGTACACGAGGCCGACAGAGAGGACAGAGGAGGATATTAAGGCGTTCGTAGAGCGAGCTATCCATGGAAAAGGCGCAGAAGATGGCGTGGAGAGGTGGTGGAAGACAAACCCGCCTCCCGAAGGAAAGGTGGTCAGGGTCTATGCCGATGGTGTCTACGACTTGTTTCACTTTGGGTAGGTCGCGGATCACCTCAAACCGATAAATGCTCACACCCTGGTAGCCACAATCTCCAATTGCGCCAAGCCAAGCTTTCGTTCCCCAAGGTGCAACTCCTCGTTGGCGTCTGCTCGGATAGGCTGTGCGCCGATCACAAGTCTGCCCCAGCAATGACCCATGCCGAGCGGTGCGAAGCTGTACGAAACTGTCGATGGGCGGACGAAGTCATTCCCGATGCTCCTTGGGTGATTGACCAAGAGTTTTTGAATAAGTACAACATTGACTATATCGCGCACGATGAGCTGGTGTACCCCAGTAAAGATCACGAAGATGTCTATGCTTTTGCCAAGGCGGAGGGTGAGTTCCCATTCATGGTTTGAAGTAAATTCATCTGACAAGAGACAGGTCGATTCGTGCCCACACGTCGAACGCCCGCCATTTCAACTTCCGATCTAATTGAGCGCATCGTCCGTGGCTACCGAGACGGGTTCTTTGATTCCAAACTGGAGAAGAACGGTCACCCCGAGTTGGCGGCTGCTGATGTAGACTGGGATTCCAGCGCATCGGTGGAGAAGCGTGAGAGGAGAAAAGCAGCGCTCAAGGCGAAAAAATAGAATGAACGCATCGATGTGCAGACGGTCCTTTGTGGAATGCTTAGATTCGACTATTTCGATCATGTATACGGGTACATTGTGCATGGCAACCGTCAAAATAACTGGTCTTATCATCCTCCGGCTTTGAATTTCTCAGCCATGTTTTGAGCATTTGCTGTGCTGTTGGCTACTGTCACCTCTGCAACGTTGGGATCGGCAGGTTGCCATGTTCCATCAGGCTCGACTGGCTTCTCAGCTTTTCCGCCCAGGAGGGCTTTTTTGATTCGAGACCCGGTGCTTTTCTTCGCCTCTTCCTCTGGATTAGGCTTCTTCTCCACCTTCTCCTGCTTCTCCCCGTCTTCTCCTATACCCGCTTTCGCATCCTTGCCCTTATCTTTGTTACTGCTTTCCAAATCCGCCAACGGTAGCTTTCGTTTCGTCAACTCTTTAATCAACTGCGCCTTTTCCTTCTCTCTCTTCTTCTTCCACTCTGCATACTTTTCCTGTCCCTTCTTCTTTTCCGTCGCAGCTTCTTTTGGCGCTTCTTGTTTGACACGCTTGACAGTGTCGGCCGGCTTCTCGGCTTTACGCTTGCGCAACTCTCTTTCAACCCACTTGGATGATCCACCGCCGGACCCTCCTGATTCACCGCCAGACGATGAAGATTCCGTTTCATATGCCGATCGGAGATGGTTGCCACACAGCACAACGAAAAGGAAGACCACACAGCTCATAAAGAATAAGGCAAGGATGAGGCTGGGGCGTTTTGGTGAGTACCATCTCGAGTGGGCGGTACGCAAGACAGTGAGATGATTGTGTGCCATGGTGCGAGCTATCGTGTGTCAACCTTCGTTCGTCCTCGCTACGATGAGAGAACATACAAGTGACCGGCGCGCCTCTGGCCGATTCTGGAACGAAAGGCGCAGGAGCAAGTACCCACCTCCTGTACCTCTCGTTCCAAACCCAAATGGGCGCGGGTTTCTCACCTTCATGCCGAATAGATTTTGAACCTGCGCTTGTCCAGAGGCCCATCTGGCCGCCGAGTCCTTTGAGACCGAGTTCTTCCATGATGGCGCCCAGAAAGCCTGTACCCTGTACCGGTGGCCCACCTAGACCGGGACTCCATGTATTCAAATCTCCATCTCTGATCCAGCCCCAAATCTGTCCCCCGACATCAGGATAGACGCCCAGCAACAGCACGGCACCGGTTGCAAGGCATATCATTGTTGTCGTCACAAACAGTTCATTGGTAGAGAATGGCAGGGAAGAGGTGTTTGGCGGACGGGCCCCAAGGGAGAACAGGAGGAGGGGGATGACGGGAAGGAGGATAAGCAGGATGAAGGACCCGGGAAGGAGCGTCGGTGTTGGGGTGAAAGGGGCCGGCGCAGGCGGAGGATTAGGGGTGTACTGGGGATCCATCTTGAAGGGTCACCCGCGATATGCCTGTGCGTATGCCGTAGTGAGTGATGCCCGGCAAGATGCATCCAACTGCCTGAATACAAGGATGACCGGACTAGAATGGAAGGATGTGGCGCCTAATGTCAACAAAGGATGAGATACATACTCCCATGCACACGTCGCACAATGCAATGACAGTTTGAAATGAGACTTCGTTTCGTGATATAACTACAATCTAGATGAAATCAGGTCACTATTGGTTGAAAGCTTGCCAGCTGTGAGACATGTCAGTTACGCCTGAACGGCAATTAGAACGGCTTGAGCTCACGCTTCGCTCAAAGTACCGAATGCCCCGTTGGCCAACATCCGCTGTTCCACAGTTGTGTTGTTGACGTTCAGCTGGATTGAAGTTAGGAGCGTTCCGTTCCAAAAGAATGGGACGACTCACCTTGTCAGGATGCAGTCTTGCGGCGACCTTCATGTACTTGATCTTGACCTGCTTATCCGTGATCAACTCGTGCATCCCCACTTTCAGGCCCCCCTTCATGATCTCGTCCCAAAGCACTGTGTCTAGACTCGCAATGAGTGCCCGGATGTTTGTCTCTTTGCCATTCCTCCACGCGTCGAGTTTGGCATCCACCGCGTCTTTGTGGGCACTACGAGCAGCGTCCTCGGCCTCGAGCGCCTGGGCAGCTTTGCGGAGGTCGGCAACTGCAGCGGAGCGATTGACGTCCGCCGGCCTGGAAGGTGGGACAGGCGTTGATCCGGGCGCAGGTTTGGAGACTGGACGAGATACAGGAGCTGAGGGATTGGCCTGTCCATCTGCAATCATGTTCCTCGCTCGCCTTGCGCCCTCCGCCGCCAGCTTTCTCGTGCTGGCCACCTGTCCACCCAGGATAGCAGAATCTAAACTCATGGTTCTCTCCCAGTCTTCCAGCGCTTGCTTCCATTTCTCTCCCATCTCCCAAGCCTGTGCTCGCTTTGTCAATGCTTTGGTCAACGCATCACCGAGTTTGATGTCGGCATACTCGATCGGTAAAGGCGCCTCTTTGGACGGATGATATGAGGGGGAGATGATAGTGATGGCAGAGGTACAGTCCTCCGCGGCACTTGTGAAGTCGCCAAGCTTCAATCTTGCTGTAGCCCGATTGTTAAGTAGAGGCACGAGGAAGAGGCAGCCTTCGGGAAGGGACGAGATTGCAAGTGTGTATGCAGACTCAGCTTCCGTGAAACGGCCCAGTTTGAAATGCTCGTTGCCCTTTGTCTTGTGGTTTTGAGATTTCTGGAGTTGCTGAGGGTCAGCCGGGATGATAGCCCGAAGTGGGAGAGGCGTGGAAGATTTAATCGGCGCTCGTGGGGGCTGAGAGGGCTTGTGTCGTGAAGATGCAGGGGCGGCAGAAGAAGGTCGGGATCCAAGATGATCATCTCCACCAAAGAGGAGATCCGCATCCTTGTCCCGAGTGACAACTGCAGGCCTTTTCTCGGCGGATTTTTGGGCCCCTTCGCGTCTCCTAGCAGCGGCAGGCCGAGATGACCCGTGCTTTGGCTCATCCTCCTTGTCGCTATCCACGAAGCCACCAGCCTCCGCTCCTCTTGTGTCTTCGCCCTTCCACTCTTCGGCGTCCTGCATCCATTTCGGTCGCCCATCCGCCTTTCTCTCAGACCCACCCCTATCGTCGCGTCTCCCGTCAGTAGCAGCAGCAGCTTCCATGGCCTTCCTCTGCTCTTCGTACACCTTTAGGGCTCTCTCTTTGCCCTGGCTCCAGAACACGGAAGCCTTGTTGAATAGGCCTTGTCCGAGCTCCGAAGCTTGCGCAATGATGCGTTCGGCTTGATCTTGAGACTGAGTCTCGTTCTCACGTTCGGCGGGCGTTCGAGGCTGTACAGAATCGCGCGATGGCCCCGCCCGTCTTCTCCTCCGCTTCTCCTTCTCCGCCTCTTCTCTCTTGATCCTTTCATACTCGACGACATCGTCTTCGGCCTCTCCCATATCGTCTCGAGGTGCTCCTCGGTGGGAAGGACTGGGTGATCGGAGCAGGATCTCGAGGGCAGCTTGGACGTCAAGGCCTGTAGAGGTCTTTGCAAGAGCCGAACGGGCCTGCGTGGGTGAGAACCCCATCTCAACAATTTGGCCGACGATATGAGGGGGCGGAGAATGGGTTCGCTGGGGCTTTCTAGGCGGCGATGATTCGGGGGGACGAGCAGGCTTGACCGACATTAGCAAACAAGGAATTTCAGGCTGCAGACGACGTACCCCTAAAGGTCCGGCTGATCTCCCGAGTCCTCCCAAAAGGTCACGTTCCCCATCATCACGGAGGTCATAGTTTGACACAGGCATCTTCATTTCCGACGACTTTGCTTGCTTGACCGCACTGACGGGCTTTGTCGAGCTCATGGTCGACTCGAGAACTTCAAAGTCGAACGGGTCGGTGGTGGTGGGTATCGAAATTGCAGGAGGAAGAGTTGGGGCAGGGGTGTGCACCCCGGTGTGGGGACGAGATACGGGTCCCGAAGAATTGGAGGAGGACAGCAAGTCTTCGTTGTCAAAGCTACTCCAAAATGTACCCTGGGACGCTTTGCTGGAATTTGCAGCAGAAGGGAGCCGACTGGATTTGGCGCTTGAAGGCCCCGAGGAGGCATGCGGTTTGATCGAAGGTTGCAAGAAGTCGTGAAGGTCGTCAAGGCTAGCATTGCTTTGCCCAGCATTACCCGTCAGAGTCGCTGATGTAGAGCTAGAGCTGCCCAGATTGTCCCAAAATTGACTTTCTGCCTCATACTTCTTTTTCTGGGCTTCATCACTCTTTCTTTTCTCTTCTGCGAGGGCTGCCTGGCGCTGGGCGATAGTCATTTGTTTGGTGTCATTGCTGGCGGCCGGGCCGCCTAGGGAGAGGAGTCCCGAGAAAGCATCCGGCTTGGCCTGGGAGGAGGCGGGAGTAGACACAGGAGGGGGAGCAGGCGTGGAGGTAGACGAGCGCGAGGGAAGTAGGCCCGGAGCGTAATTTGGAGTGGAGGAGCGGGGCTGCTGGGGCTGTATGGAGAGAAAGTCGAAAGACGTAGGAGTGGAGCCCTTGGCTGGGGGCTGGGGGACGGAGGGGGCGGTGGGCTTCGGGGCCCAGGAGAGATCGAGGAGGTCGTCCATGGGGATGAGCGATGAAAGAAGATGAGGACAAGAAATGAAAGAGGAGATGAGCGCGACGACGGCAACAACAGTCGCCACGCGAGTTCATTTAGGCACGGCCAAGTTGTGTATGATTGTGGCATCTCGATGCATCCATGGGCCTCTTATGCTATGTATCAAGCCTCGCTCTCCTTCTCGCCACCAGCAGCCTCCTCCCTGGCCTCCTTCTTGCCACCCGACTTTCTTCGCCTTCTCTGCGAATTACGCGTGTTTCTCAAAGACTCGAGCCGCAACGTTGCCAGCTTATCCCAGACCACTTCGCCATCTAGATAGCACCCCTTCAACCACCGAGTGGGTTCTGTAGACTCATCGTCGTCCTTGTCCGCCTCATTCACCCCCTCAGGCGACTCTTTATCTTTATCGTAGAATGCTGTTCGCGCATGTAAGACTCGTCGATTATCAAACAGGACCAAGTCTCCTTCTTGCATGGTAAACTCGTACCGATAGCGAGGATCGCTCAAGCGCTCTTCGAAATCTGCGATAGCTTGGAAGACTTTGGACTCTTGCTTGGCAGCTGCGACGATGTCGTCTTGGGGCATGTCAAGGGCTTCAGCAGGCCCTCGGAAGGGAGGGCTCCAGTTGACGGCGGCATGTAAGCTGTTTGGGGCATAGTCGGGACTGATGATGGGGTGACGGTAGCGCAAGAAATGACCATCATTGTCATACTGGTAAGGGATGGTAACGGAGCTGAGGAATCTGCGCTTTTCTTTGGGGAGGTCGTTTACGGCCCGGAACGAGTCGACAAAGTAGGACGAGCCCCCTTCAACACGATTGCGTAGACAGTGAAGGAGTTGAAAGCGGGGAGGACTGGAAAAGTAGAGGAGGTCCATATGCAATCCCAGATTGACACTGGTGTAGCTATGCCATCCGTCAGCGTCAGCGAAACATACATCACGATATCGCCGACTCACGCAACATTCTTGCTCTGCTTCATGCTCTTCACATTCCAAGTCTCCCCATAAAATGTGTTGCGAATCTCTCCGACCATGTTGGTCACCTTCCGCAGAGTGCAGTCATCATTGCCAGTGGTGTCTGTCGGCACCCCCTCCACGATTGCGATACCATACACTTGCAATTGTTCAAGCACTTTGAACAGCGATTGTGGTAGGTCGCTGTACTTGAAGCGCAAATTGGTCAAGGGTAGAGATTCTCCATCCCAAGTTTGGCGGACGAAAGTGGGGCTACGGGTATAGCTGCTGTTGTCTGACTCTATCATTCCTCGCAGTCTGAACATGGGGAACACGGACACGTGAGATTGCCCATCATTGCGATTTCCCTTGGGGCCGATCCACGAAGCAAGGAGTGCCGGGACTTGCACTGAGCCATAGGAGACATGCCCCTTTACAAACTTCACCCTTTTGCTTTCTCGGACTGATTCTCCGGTGGTGGTGTTCTTTTGGCGAGTAGATTTGTCACGGCAAAGAGCACACGAGCACGAGTCAAGAAGACGAGCGTGGGTGATTACGCCTGAGCGGCCGTGGGATGTGAATGAGACAAAGTTCTGGTAGATGACGACCTTCTCATGGGCGCTGAACTTGATCTCGTGTATGGGCTCGTCTGGACGGCGCTTGTGCCTTTTCCTGCGCCCCCCCTCGCTCGGAGAGCAGGCGTCCTCGACGGTGATGCCTTCTATGAAGGAGTCTTCGATGTCGTCCTCTGCAACAACATAGGACTCTGCCCAAGGGTTGGCACTGAGGCTGATCGGGTTGAGGGGTGGGGGTTTGAGGAGCTGCTGCTCTTCGGAAGCGTCCGTGGGAGGGAGCGGGGGCGGGGAACGCTTTGGGTGCTTGCGAAGGTGGAGATTGGGGACGGTGAGAGCCTGGGGCGCAGTGGAGCCATGGGGGAAGGGTGAGGTGGAGTGGGCGCGGGTGAGAGGCCTGAGGGGAATACGGGGGGGCATAGCTGTGGAGGAATGAAGGGGCGGGATGATAGAGGAGATGGAAATGATGACGCGGGAAGGGGAAGGCGGGGCAGACCGCCGGAGATGGTACCGCAGTACATGTGGTTCTCTATGTACGTACTTGTAGACATATATTCTGCTAGTTGCTCAGCGAGATGGAGAACGAAAGGTGAGCGCACAGAAACGGGGCACCGCTCATCCCCCAGGCTCGCCGCCTTCCAGCGCACCCTCCACCCCTCCCCCATCCACCTCGACAGACTCCGCCAACTCTCCTCCAGAGGTGCGTCCACAGCCAGCAGACAGCCGGCCTGCTGACCACATCCAGGTATCCCGAACCACCCCCCGCATCTCCGCCCCTTGGTATATTCGCTCCTCCTCGAGATAGTGCCGCCAGAGAAGGAGCTATGGAGCAAGTCGATGAGGGATCAGAGAAGACGTTACCACGTGCGCCTTTGCCAGAATACTAGCTAAGTACCCAGCTGATTTCAGCAGAGCCTGGTAGACACTCTTATGAATGAGCTGGATCGCCCGGTGAGTATGGCATGCGTCACATATATACCACATACTCGAGCTTACGTCTGGCCTTAGGAATCCTCCTCGTCTGCCAACTTGGGGGTAGACGACTTGTTGTCGAGCATAGCCCGCGACACCCGCGGCCTTTCAACAGACTTCTGGCACCGCCCCGTGTCATATCGAAATTCATCGCCTTTGCGTCCACTCTGTAGTGAAGACAGCATGGGGCAGGTACGCAGGATCAGCGAAGAGAGCGACGAGGAAAGCGAAGATGAAGACACCCCGGTACCACTTCTCTCTCGAAGGTCCCTGTTTCAGCGACTGGAGACCATTTCTGCGAGAGAACACCAGGCGCCTATAATCACAGCCACCCCACCCGTCGCACCCCCATCGCCTCCAGAGTCCCCTGCCGCCTTACTATCCCCTAAAATCACACTCTCACTAGATCCTTCCTCTGCTTCGCCTATCCTCTCAAGGCTCAACAGTAAACGCCCTGCTCCTCTAGAAACCTCCGGTCTCAAACCCGCAGGGGAGGGTGAACAGCCGTCCCCAATTGTCTTGCATTCTCCCAAACCTTTGCCCAATGGGTCAACTCCCCACCTACCCCCGGCGTTGTTCCATCCCGACGACAACAGGGAAGCCGTCACACGACTGGTCTATGTCTTTAGCCGGACAAATCCTCAGTGGACGTATCGGTCGTCTCTGATCGACATTGCTAGCCACCTGTACATCATCTACTCTGGTGGAATGCAAAGCCGGACGCGGTCGAACGACTTGGTCCTAGACTGGGCTGAGGAGTATACTTTCTGGGCGCTGTCCGCCTTGATTGGAGATATCGATACGTTGGTGGATGAAGATGGGATCTACAGCACTATGAACAAATTCGAACGCCGATTGGAATGGATGAATCCGCCCCTCTCCTCCATACTTCGCGACCGGAGTGTAGAGCCACACCTATACGTCAACCGCTGGTTCACCTCACTCTTTACCAAAGATATACCGCAAATCAGAGTCCCTCTTCTGTTTGATTATGTCCTGTCGGAAAAGCTGTCGACGCCGGGGAGTCAGGCGAAAGTGGATAGAGTGGTGGATATAGGCGTGGCGATGGTGCTTCTTGTCAAAGATCAGTTGGTCAAGCCGCCTCCCAAGAAACCGAATCGCTCGCACCAGAGTCAAAGTATGTGGGACGACGCCCTCGACCAGGATGAAGCAGACAACGAGGATATCAGTGTCGCTCTCGGCCGCAATCTGCGACTCCTCAGGGCTTATCCCCTGAAAGATGTGGGTGGGCTGGGGGCAGTGTTGAGTGAGGCAGAAGATTTGGGTTTGGAGAGGATGAAGTCGCTCCAAGAGGGGGTGGACCCTGACAGGGTAACCTTACCACCAAAGCGGTCTTTTTTTGTTGCGACTCCTTCAAGACCTGCTGCAGAATCTTCTTGGGGTAAGGCTGTCGGTTCTCTGTGGTCTTCCTTCAAGACACCGTCACCCTCGAAACAGCAGAGCCATTCAGCTCTGCGCAAGCTCGAGCTCGAAGCGAGCGTGTTTGAGCACCAATCACCTGCCTCTTCCACCACATCTCTCCCTCAAAGCTCGAAGCCTAGGAGCGACAGCATGGCTTCCACCACCTCCGTCACCCTCCCAGCAACGCTTCAGGAAAAGTTTGCTAGCCTCTCCAAACACTTTTCGCCCGGCTCCAAACAAGACAGCAACAAGCCGGAGACGCCTTCAAGCCTGCCCAGGCCTCTGCTATTGTCGGGTTCTGCCAAGACTAGAAGGCCGAGTCATTCTCAGCCGAGGTCGAGAGAAGGGTCCCTTTCGAGCGCTTCTCCCCGACACTCGCCTTCTATCGATGGGCTGCCAAATTCCGCATATTCTCCGTCTCGTTTCTCAAATACATCCTCACCTCCGGGACCAGCTGAGCTCAGCGACCCGTTGAGCCCACCACAAAGAGGGAGATTTGGCAATATATCCGCTGGGTATCCTAGCCGCCCCAATTCGCTCCATGAGCATACACCAGGGGGCCTGTATAGAATAGGCAGTCGGCAGAGGAGTTCGTTCGTGCAAGAGCCGACGTTGGCAAAGGACATCACAATGGCGCTGGAGCAGAAGGAAAGAGGATGTGACCAATCCCAAGGGGCTCAGACTGCAAAGGATGATCGCGAGCCAGGGGATGCAGAGCAATGCATATAAGCACAGGGTCTGTAGGGTATCTTGGGTATCTTGGGTATCTTGACTATTTTGGGATCTTTGCCTATCCATATTTACATGTATTTTGTATGACAACAGAAGTGCCAACTATATATCTCTATCTCACCCGTGGTTAGGGATTCCCTCGGATAGTAGACGTTAACCGACATCGATAGTACTGTACAGATCATAATGCACCCAGGGGATCCCAGCTTTCGTCATTCTCCTTCCGTCTTTCTGTCGCTTCCACACTCCCCTGCACCGCCGCATCATTCGTTGATTTATCTTTTATACTCAAGCCGGACAAGGAAGGAATCGGGGTAGGCGCGGTCGCCCATGGATTACTTGTAGTAGTTCTGCTTGGCCCCGGGCGAACCGCCACTGCAGGAATTGACGGAACGAGGTCTGGGCGAGCGGGGGAAGATACGGGTGGTGATCTCGGGGACTCAGAAGCCCACGGGTTGGCTTCCGAGGGAACTCTCAGGTCCATTCGCGACAGCCCCGTTGACGGCGCAACAGGCCCCGAACCTCTGGTCACCCCGGAGCCTAACCTTTTACGGTCATCCTCCCTCCCCCAACCATTTCTTTCCAGCTCATCTGCCTCAGCTTTGATCTGCGCGAAAGCGTCGGTGGAAATGGTGCGGAAATCTCGAGCAGCAGATTGAACAGCGTTGAAAGCGGTGCCAGATATCTGAGACCAGTTCCACGACTTGGGACCCGGAGACGAGGTGGCGGGTTCGGGGGACAGTGGAGTAGCATGTACTGAGAGGGGGTCGGTGGATGGCGCACCTACAGGTGTCACTCCGCGTACAATTCCCTCCACCCGGACAGGGTCATCCTCAGAGCCCGTCACTGTACTGGAACTATCCACTCCAGTGACCCCAGCAGCCAGCGAAACAGGTAACCCGTTCATCTCCTCGTCACCGCGTCCAAAAAGACGAAACCAGAATTGAACATCTTTCGGGTCGTACAGCAAGACACCTTGGTCCCCGGGTTCAAGAGCACCTGAAGTGACATCTGACTTGTCGAGGGAGGGATCATACGAGGGGTTCACATGCTTGGCGCGTTCTGAGGGTCGTTCGATGAAATCCCAGACAGACGCTGTGCGCTCAACGTATGGCTTGCCAGAGTGTGACGTCTGCCTTTCTCGTTCGTTGTTGAAAAGGAACGTCCCAAATTGACACGAGTGTAGATGTCTATAGGTATCGAGCAGATACTGTTCATTGAATTCGAACCGTTCCGGAAACTGTCGTTGGATTTGACGCACACATTCGAGGAACTGGTGGAAGACTGGGGAAATCTCTTTAAGGTGGGAAGTGCTCTTGAACTGCTTCTGAACCGAAGCAAAGAACGCTTGAGCTGCTCTCTGAGCACCTCCACCGGGTCCATCTTCTTCCAGGTCGTCTTCACTCTCTGTGACTGAGAAATACTTTTCCGACGACAAATGACCCGAACGATCGAGGAATTTGTGGCCGAAAGATAGCCAATCCTTCTCGACGAGGATTTTGAAGCCTTCAAAAGTTCGATAGTATGGGTCCAAGGCGATCTGAGCGACAGCGCTGAGCTGGGCCGTCCGATCCCACCCATCTGAGCAGTGGATGAGGACGTGGGAAGCGTTGAGATGAACATTGCGGATGATGATGAGGGCACCATCTAGGATAGTAGAGATGTGCCGCAACCAGTTACTCTTTCGAAGCAACCCGCGATCCAGGGGTATCGTGGGTCGGGCATTTGCCTCTCGTATTGCCTCGGCAATGATCTTGAGACTACCGCGCATAACATGTATATTGTCAATGCCCAGATATGACTTTTTGCCCAGTTTATAGTTTTCCATATTCTCCGTCCCCGCCCCCATGGCGACGTTTGCCATAGCATTAGTCGTGGGCCGCGCGTCGATGATGAGATTGGTAGAGGTGGCGCCGTATATGGAGGTTGAAGTGGAGGAGTAGGCGTTATCGAGAAAGTGGTGGGAGGAGAAGATGCACTCGACCAGTCTTTCGTCTTGGGATGACCGCGAGTTCTTCATGCCCACCATGGGCTGTGATGAACGGGTGATGGATGCCTATTTACAGTGAGCGACGGGACAAGTCTCCGTGGGGGCATGAATACACACGTTGTTTGCCCAGTGGAGATAAGTCAACGCTGGTATCCGCGCTTTGCTCCTATATTTTGCAGCATAGGACAAAGTCGAATCGCTAATGCGACTGGGAACGACGAGCTTGTTGGGGTATGTGGGAGAAAAGGAATAGTCCTTGTTGATATCGGTGAAACGCCACGCTTTCGTACGCGTCCCGAGACCTTGGCGAGCGAATTCGGCTCGGGCGTTGTATGTCTGCCAGCCCTTGCCTGGAGAGGGCGCGACGTAGAAGAATGCATAAAGCTGTTCCACAGAATCTATTTCGTCAGCTTTGCTACGCAGATAGCCAACTCACTTTTCACTGTGCAGTCTTTGACGCTCTGCCACACGTCTTCCGCGCCGCCCTCTCTGTCCTTGTTGAACAGCAAGACATAGCTTTCGAACGTCTTTGTTTCTATCTGTACGGGATAAAGGCCGTATATGGTCTGTGGCAACCTGGTAAGAAGGGCGATGTTTGGGTACGGGATCCAGATCTCGGGATGGGGGCTGGCGGAGGGGGCGGACTGGGAGAAGATGAGGTGGTGGGGGGTGAGGTGGAGGTCGCCTGTGATGCGGCGGTGGGTGGGGCGTGCTGCGGTGTCCTGGGGAAGCTCGGGGAACTCTATGGCGACGTTGTCGACGCGGGCGACTCTGAGGGCGTCCATGGCGCGAGGGAGGCTGGATACAGGTTGGGTAGTCAAGTTGTAGTCAAGATTAGTAGACGGGGTATAGCACAAGGGCGCTTATGTAATCCCACCGCCAGCCGCTCGAGGCCGACGGAGATGGAATTTTGAATTTTGCTTTCTTCGCGCCACACTGCCCAGTCACCACGCACGATGCCGGATATCACGCTCAAGAACCAACCATTTGACGTCGAGTTTCACCCCACAGAGCCCGTCCTCTTTGCATCCCTCCTCACGGGCCAGGTCCAGTCATGGCGCTACGACGACCAGACGGGCGAGACTTTTTCCGGGTGGAATGTCAGGCCCAGCAAGAGGACGGCGAGGGCACTGGCGATCGAAGAGGGGGGCGATAACGTCTGGATGGGCGGAAAGGGAGGCGGTCTGTAGTAGGTCGGGCGTGGGCCGCGAGTGCAGCAGCTGATGTGATCTAGCCAAATAAACACCAAGGATGGGCAGATGACCAAAGAGAGGGCTGGGGCCCACGAAGTGCCTATCAATCGGGTGCACTGCGTCAACCCCAATCTCATTGCATCAGGAGACGACGATGGTGTCATCAAGGTGAGTTGCAGGGATCTTGAAGATGTCGCTGACAGCTGGTAGTTCTGGGACCCCAGGCAAGAAGACGCGATCCGCTCATACTCTCAGCACTTTGACTACATTACCGATTTCACCTATTTCGACGACAAGCGTCAGCTCGTCACCACCTCGTATGTACTCTTTTCACCTGAAACTAGGCTGATCATGGTTGCAGCGGCGACGGTCACCTGTCGGTAATCGATATCCGCTCCAACAAATCTGCCCCTCTATCCCTCTCCGAGAACCAAGACGACGAGCTGTTATCAATCGTGCCAATCAAGAATGGACAGAAAGCTGTTGTTGGATCAGGGACAGGAGTGCTGAGTATATGGAATCGGAAGCAAGGGTGGGGAGACTGTAGGTCGCAGTCAAAATTGTGGATTAAGACGGACGCTGATGTTGGGTAGGTGTGGACCGTATACCAGGACACCCTGCTTCGGTGGATGCCATGGTTGCCATCACCCCTGATATCATCGCTACTGGGTCAGAAGACGGTATGATCCGCGTCATACAAATATTACCCCATAAATTCTGTTCGTTCCGCCCTTCAAATTAACACCAAGAGGCTGACAATAGGTGTCAGTGGGTGTCGTTGCAACGCACGAAGAATACCCTATTGAGCGTATCAAACTCGACCGCAACAGCAAATGGCTTGCTTCTGTTTCGCACGACGAGTGCCTCAAACTCACCGACATGGAAGATCTATTCGAAGAGAGTGACGATGAAGATGAAGAGATGGAGGAAGGGGACGGGGACAAGTCGGAGGAGGAAGAAGCAGACTCTGACTCTGACATGGAAGTAGAGAAGAAAAAGAAGGCGAAGAAGGATAATGGCATGAGGGATATGGGGAGGAAGCAGATGGAAGAAGAAGACGGAAGTTTCTTTGCAGACTTGTGATAACGTCATCTATTATATGCATATGTGTAGATTCAATTGGATGTTGATGATGGTGTGTTTGCTAGTGCCGATGCGTACGCTTCCCCTTGCCCCACATAGAGTCCGTACTCCTTGCCATTGATCTGGGTGGTCAATCTCCCCGTCTCGCCTTGCGCCCATTGCGAGGCACTTGTGCCCAGAGTGTCCGAGGACCACCATGTCCGTTCGGCCATTTCGAGACGCACCAGAGCGAGCCCGATGGTATTGTGCAACGAGAGAATCTTGCCCGCCGACCGAGGCTTTTTGGAGGCTGACGATGTTGGGGGATGGAAGGTGATGTCGAGGGGATAAGTGGCTTCTAGTGAAGAAGCAGGAGAAGGGGAGGAAATGAGATCAAGGATGGAGCCAGAATGGTCCATGGGGAAGAGACGGACGGGCAAAATCCTCTTTCGCGTCGCACCGGTATGATACGTGCGGACCGTCAGCTCCTGCCCCAAATAACAGCCCTTTCGAAAGTCGACTGTCCTCACGTCAGCCGTGCTTGAAAGTTGATTTTGGGGCAGACTTACCCCCGCCGTGGATATCCATGGAGCTTTCTAGAGGAAGCGCAGAACCGGGTATTATTTCGTCTTGTCCTTCCGGGACACCGAGCAGCATTCGATGCAGTCTGTAGTCGTCTAGAGAGGCGATATCGTGTGATGATGACAGAGATGCTGGGAGATATGAGCAGCTGTTCTAATTTTCATAGACGTTACCTACGGGACTGGCCCTTGGGCACAAGTATCTGCCTGCCCATGCTATTCCACCCCGCCCTCAGATCCCAACAGCCCACTTCCTGCTCGCTGAGCCCGGCTGTCCGTATGCCATCTGGCCAGTCCCAGCGTGACTCTGCTGCGCCGCCGCTGCCCATCTTCCAGGTGCGCGTCGGACTTGGCCCCTCTGGCACTGTGTCCTGCCACGCTGACCAAGCATCCCACTGCTCCGACACATCCTTTATCCTGACCTTGGAGCGTAGCTTGAACGGCGGGAGAAGGGCGGGGAGCGGGGCAGGGTGGTCTGGTGGTGACTCGTGGGTTATGAGGTAGCTGTTTGGGGAGCGGGGAAAGATGAAGACGGGATGGAGGACGCGGCCGGAGGCGTTGAGGAAGCCGCTGTAGCCGCCGGCGAGGTACTCTACGTCCTTGCAGCTGAGGCCCTTGAGGAACTTTTGTGCGTCTGGGCCGGCGAGCTCGAGGACGTGCTTGTGGGCGAGGTGGGCGAGGCGGGCCATGGCTGGTGGTGGGTGTAAGCGCGCGCATCTGTATGGCCAAGTTGCGAGGGCAATACCCGGCGCCCCCCGCCGCCGGTGCGAGTGATTACGTATGGCCTGCGTGGCGATCCCTGACGAGGAGGAGGCCTGGAATGCTGTCATGTTTTGGATAGCCACAGCCAGCGCACATCTACCAAACACCTCTCGTCAGCCACCCTCCACCCTCCGTCCCCCCATCCCCCCATCCCGGCCAGCCTCCACCCACTCAGCACGTCACGCCCATCCCGCTCCCCATGTCTATGCCCGCAGACCCCCCGCTCCAAACATCGGCCCCCGTCGACCGCCCCTCTCCCCGCATAAATCCCTTCCACCTCCTCTCCCACCCCGACTCATCCCACCCCCTTCCCGACCTTCCTCCCCATCTCCAAGCACTTGCAATGCAGCCAGACACCGACCCGGACGCAGAGTCCCGCTCGCCGCCCGTGCATATCACCAAGGTGTCGGGCGCCGAGGTGACCCTTAGATCACACCCCGAGGCGACAAATCACAAGACGTTTCTCGGACGCGTCAGCGGGGCGTTCAAGAGGGACTCGGCGGAGAGCGACAGCAGATTCGGCACCTCGCCTATCGTCATGCAAGGAGCACCGCCGAGCCCGCCCCCGAGTGATGGGGGCATGGACGACTCGGTCGTCATGTCGGATGAGGATCTGCCAGCCACGTTGTCGTCGAACGGCAACCATTCTCAGACCGGAGATGCTCGACCTGTTCTTGCAACCAGCTTCACCTCGGAACCCTCGGACTTTGACCCGCTCGTCGTCCTCGCCCCGCCCATCCCTGCAGCTCGGCGCGTCTCGGGCAGCTCAACAACGTCGAGCCGAGCGGGGTCTCTGACTCTGGTGCGCAGCGGTCGCTTGGCGCCTCAACGGGACGGCGAGAATCTCGCCAAGACCAAAGACTTGCCGGCGCTGCCCAACGGGTCGGACGTCGAACTGGAACGACGTGATAGCGCAGGCAACCTCCTCTCGCCCACTCCCATGTTGCATCGCCGAAGTACAGTCGGTTCACCCATACCCCCACCCCCTCCTGCCCCTCGGTCTCCTCTCATGCATTCTCGCTCGACGTTTGCTTCGCCGTCTTCCACACCGCCGCCGGCGCAGGGGAAGAACGGTTTTTTGGACTCGGCTATCCAGGAGCAGGAGGAGACTATCAGGCGTGAAAGATTTTCGCGGCTAGAAAGGAGGTCCAAGAAGGCGAGCGCTACGAGTGATGGAGAACACGAGCCCAAACCTGAAGACATCTCTTCGCAACATTACTCCCCGAAGCAACAGGCGCCGCCCCCCCGACAGCCGCTTGACAAGGAAAAGGAAGAGGCCAGGGTGCTTGTGGGGAACTTGATCGGCGAAGATCATGTCAACTATGTTCTCATGTACAACATGCTCACGGGTATCCGGATAGGAGTGAGTGTACCACGCTATCTGTCTAGGTCGAGCTGACTCTGTCAGGTGTCGCGATGCCAGGCCAAGATTGGACGCGTCTTGACTGATGACGATTACACCGCGCGCCACAAGTTTTCATTCGACATGTCAGTTGTCCTTGACACTCCATAGGCTCGGCTGACATGTCACAGTATCGGAAACGAGCTCACGCCGTCTGCAAAGTACGATTTCAAGTTCAAAGACTACGCCCCCTGGGTGTTTCGTGAACTGCGCGAACAGCATTTCAACCTCGACCCTGCCGATTATCTCTTGTCCTTGACCGCAAAATACATCCTCTCCGAACTAGGCTCTCCCGGGAAGTCCGGGTCCTTTTTCTACTTTTCTCGCGACTACCGCTTCATCATCAAAACCATCTCCCACCACGAACACAAATTCTTGCGGTCCATCCTCAAAGACTACCACGAACATGTCAAGGAGAACCCCCACACTCTTCTCTCCCGCTTCTATGGCTTGCATCGTGTCAAGCTTCCTCGTGGACCCAAAATTCACTTTGTCATCATGAACAATCTTTTCCCGCCCCACCGAGATATTCACGAAACGTACGATCTCAAGGGTTCTGCCTTTGGCCGAGAATACCCCGAAGACAAAGCGGTGCAGAATCCTAGGGCCACGCTCAAAGACAAGAACTGGGTCAACAGGGGCAGGCTACTGGAGCTCGGGCCGGAGAAGAGAGCGCTGTTGACGTCCCAGCTGAAGAGGGATATGGAGTTTTTGAGGAAAATCAGGGTAATGGACTACTCCCTACTTGTTGGGATACACAATATGGAAAGGGGAAACCGAGACAACCTCCGAAACACTCAACTATCCGTCTTCCATGTAGGTCACTCAGCGGTCTTGCCTATTGTACTAATGATGGACGTAGCCAGAGGTCACCACGACCAAACGCAAGCCATCCACCCACAAAGGCGGCCACGAAGCTTCCAACATTCGTAAAGTTGTTCGACGTGCAGACCCCAAAACTCTGGATGTCACATCCCAATTACCCTCGGAAGATGCGCCTGACCACGCAAACCTCATCTTTTATCAAAATGAAGGGGGGTTCCAGGCCACTGACGAGCGAAACAACCCACTAGACACCATATACTATCTCGGTGTAATCGATATCTGTACTCCTTATAATACGGCCAAAAAGGTCGAACATTGCTGGAAGAGTATGACGGAGGATAGAGTGCGTATTGCGATTGTCTAATATGGAAAGTGACTAACATGATCCAGCATATGATTTCTTGTGTGGATCCCGTGCAGTATGGCCAGCGATTCTTCGACTTTCTTCGGTCTGTCATGCGCAAAGGGGATCTTTCTCTCCGCCCGCCCGGTTTGGAACCTATCGCCAAGGTTGACAAGCCCGATGTTGGGCAGGATACCGATAGAGATCCATGTGCGGGCATCGACACTACTGCCAACGCTAGCGGCGGCCCTGACCAGGGCGGTGGCAGCGAGGGTTTGAGCTCTGCGGAAGTGCGCAGGGATGCGCCAGGGATAGCTCTCAGAGCGGACGGCGCAGAGGCAACAGAACCAGCAATGGTCGGACATTTGAAAGCGGACTAGGTCAGATAATGTCTATTTTGTTTATTTTTCTCTACATTTGTACAAGTATACCAGACAGACGAGTATACCCTTTCATCTACTTGTCAACTTTTGGCCTTTCATTCTCAATGACGAACGATTATTCTATTGCATGTATACGACGACTTTCTAACGACAAATTTTAATCAAGACTGTGAAATACCTGTGTGGGATGGTGCATACATTGTGTCTGGTACAAGTGCACTGTGCTTGGGCCCGATGGTGCTCATCTCGTGGCCATTAGTGTCGCAGCTGCAGAGCATGTGTATACATCTCGTTTTACTTTACAGCTCTTTAACCGACTTGTCCGGCTCCATTTCTACTTCCAAGCCCTTTGCCATTCGCTTCCAGCAGGCCTTCAAAGCTGCCTTTGTTTCCGCATCCATCTCCAGCTCCAGCGCAACAGCTTCGATATCGAGAGGGTCTCTGGCAATGCCTTCGTCTATTGCTGGCTGATCGCTCGCTATATCTGACTTTGACGCTGGGTCGGCCTCTTCTCGAAAGATCGGCCGCTCAAATGACGCCTTCCTGTGAAACATTGCTCGATTTACCATAGCATGAAGGCGGCTGGTTGCCGGGCGAATGACAGCTCGGTCTTCTAGTATTTTCTGGAGCGCCTGGGAAAGGCGGGAGATGATAGGATAATGGATTCCGAAGGCTGCTAGAGTCATGAGCAGCGGCTTGACAGCCTCTGATTGATCGTCAGATATCCAACCTTGATATACATATTGTGACGCACCGTGGTAGTGGAGTGCTGACATGTAGGCATCTGCAGCAATGGCAGCCACGCCGGCAAACTGGCCCTTCCACTGCACAGACGTCAGCAAAAGCATTGCGGCGGCTCTTGGAATCGACGTACAATACTTTTGCTGCTGTTCGCTAGTAACAGAGCCTTGTCCTTGTCTCCGCATTTGATGGACGCATTCAAGCCAATGTCCAGCAGCTCGCGAGATAGGCCGCCGAGAGGTTTTGCTTTGGGACCAGAGTCAAATTTGAGCAGCACAAGCTCGAGAGCTCCAGAGTAATCCGGCGGGTCCGAAAAGTATAAGCTACTGGCCGCATACTCTTGCTCTCAGCATCAGCATCTGACAGCAGGAAAAACTCGGGCGACTCACCTAGCCGCTGCCTGTCTACCTGAGTCTTTGAGGCTGGTGGATGTTCGCTGTATGCTTCTGGCTTCAGCCACTGCTTTCGATCAGCGCCTGCACAGCTGCACAGCAGTTTGGGTAACAAGCCTTTACCTTTCTTTCAGTGTACGCATGTTCTGGTTTGTACTCTGTCTTTGACCTCTCGACGGCGGCAGCTATACGCAGAGCTTTGACTGAGACCCGGAGGTCGGCTTCATCTGCTTCTGGCTGGGTGTGGGAGGCGGCCTCGTCGTCGTGCTTTGCTACTGCGGTATAGTTTGAGCTGTCTGCGGTGGGCATGGCGGAGGGAATGCGATGGACAGCATGGGAGTCTCGGCAGAAAAGCATCGAAAAGCAGTCGAAAACTGAGGTCGGGGTGCCGACGGGGACAAGAGGTAAACAGTCGGCCATGTCCGCCGCGCCGTGCTTCGTTAGTCTGTTTCATGTGAGGTCGCGTCGTGAATCTCGAATCATCATCTCTATCTTTTCCTCTTTTCTTCTTTTCTTCTTTTCTTCCCCTGCCCCTTCCCCCGCCATGGCCTACCAGGACACCCTCCTCTCCCATCGCCCACGCGAATTCTCCCTCGCAGAACCGCTCTCCCTTCCATCCGAGTCCGACCCCCGGAGCTCCCTCGCTCGCCGGAAAGAAAGCCTGATTGGCAAGGCCGACCTGGCCACCAGCTCCAATGCCACAACGCGCACGCTTCCTCCAGTCCCGAACGGCTCAGAGCCTCCCTCTGCCTCTCGCCCGCCAGAAAGCGGCACTAGCGGCTCAGAAGAGACTATCACCAGACGGCGTCGCACTGGGACCCGTACAGAGCGTGATCGCGTTGTCATCCAGTCATCAAATGACTCCAAGGGCCACAAGTCTTCAGCAAAGGCTGCAAAACCCCTAGAGCCGCAGCTCCCGTCTGCACCGGGGCTTCCTCGAGCTCCCGCGTCGTCAATGTACTTCTCGTCGGTGCCGTTCTACGGCTCTCCGCCGAATCAAGCCTTGAGAGCCCACACTGGTACCCTGGTTGGAGAGAGAATATGGATCATTGGGGGTGTTGATCGACAGAACTGCTGGCGTGGGGTAGCGTGGTATGACACCGAGAGCTACATGTGGAGTACAATAGAGACTGCTGGGGATCAGTTTCCTCCTCTCCGTGCCCATACAACTACGCTCGTTGGTGACAAGCTCTTCATTTTTGGCGGCGGCGATGGTCCCACATACAGTAACGACATTTGGATTTTGGATACATGTGAGTCTTGCGAGGTGGCATGTATGAACCTGGACTGATGATCAACTAGCTACGCACCGTTTCTCTCGACCTGTCTTTGATCCCAACATGTCGCTACCGCCGCCCAGGCGGGCACACACTACCGTCCTTTACCAACACTATCTTGTTGTCTTTGGGGGCGGCAATGGTCAGGCTGCACTCAATGATGTATGGGCCCTCGACATATCCAATCTCAACAACCTTGTGTGGCTGGAGTGGAAGACCAAGGGGGATGTCCCTCAGAAAAAAGGCTATCATACAGCCAACCTGATAGGAGACAAAATGGTAGTCTTTGGTGGAAGCGATGGTCATGCTAGCTTTGCAGATGTACATGTGCTGAATCTTCGTGAGCCCCTCATTTTCTCGTCTGTCAAAACTGACCCATTTTCCAGAGACATGCGTCTGGACCTTGGTCAACACTGATATCAAGCACAACAGGTTATCGCATACATCAACCCAGGTCGGATCCTATCTGTTTGTCATAGGAGGTCACAATGGACAAGCATATGCCCAAGATGTGTTGCTGTTCAACCTTGGTGAGTCCAATGCAAAAGGAGACATTTTTACAGAGCTGACTATTGCAAGTCACACTCCAATGGGAAACCAAAGTGCCCCGCGGTGCCTTTCCGCCTGGCAGAGGCTACCATGTTGCTCTGCTGCATGATACAAGGATTTTCATCTCGGGTGGTTATAATGGAGAAACAGTCTTTGATGACTTTTGGATACTAGACCTCAGTGCCAGTGCTTATCTACCTCAGGTGGTGAGTTTCTTCCAAGAGTAGAGCAAGTCTGGCATGGCTGACTGATCATGCAGACAACATTTGAGGTGGATGAAACTGTACAACCAGACAGTATCAACAGGATGGAGGATGGTGTAGGAGCTGCAGGGTATGATTTGTAGTGGTCACTGCTTTGATTCCAGTCTTCCAGTCTTAGTGAATTAAGTGCAGGTTGATGTATTGAAGTATGGACTTTAATGACAGGCCTATATCCACAAGTGTACTGAGCAAGCAGTAGAACAATGTTCCATTGATGGGGCCCAATGAGTTTGATATGCAAGAGCAGTGTGAGCAGGCTCAACCGGATGAGATGCTTTGGGGTGAGGTAAGACTCTTCTACTCTAAAGAGCAGCTTGCTACTATCCTAAGACTTGGCCAACTGTCTGGTTGCTCTTGAGGAAAGTAGTTACTATCCACTAAAACTTTATCTTAGGCAAGTCGGACATGAGTTTAAGGTTGCTGAGGATTGTCAGATTTATGGAATATGGACCCATATAGAAGATGTCTTGAGCTTCTAGCTTACTCATCTTTCCCTTGAATCTGAGTCATTGTAACGGAGCTATGGAGCCACTGTTGCATTGTATGTAAGCTGCAAATGCTGCTCCAGCCAGGCTGGAATGGTGACCTTTTGCAGCAGTCACAAGGTTCAAGTGATTGAATGTTCCTTTGCAGTTGCATTCTACACTCATCTCCCACATGAGTATTACCAATTTTTCCTGTGAGTCTGGCCCATCCCTCCAAAGAAGCGTCCCTTATATCTCCATGTTATTCTAAAAGACATTGATTGGTGGAGTGTTTTACAAGTAATCTTATATGCATCAAAGCTACCAAAACTATGTCCCTGTGTTTTGAGATGTTTATGTCATGCTTGAGTGGGGCTCAATCAAAAAGCTCCTTTCTGCTCTGAAAGATGTTGTTGTTTGCCCCTGGATGGGTATTGCCTACTCCACCATTGGTGGACTTGCCCTCAAAGGTAGATCTGGGGGGAGAGTTTACAGGAATCTCACGCTTCACATATGCATGCATGAGTGTTGACCCAGTAGGACAAATAACCGGTAAATGTCTGACTGATTTGATGACATTTTACTTAGATAAAGAGGGTTGTGGAAGAATTGAGCTTTATGTGCAGAGAATTTGTCAAGAGGGCAAATTCCTTATAGACAATCAAGTCCAGATATATTGCAATTTCTTTACTAATGAGAAAATATCTCAAACACCAACTTTGACTTGTAACATCTAAAACTGCCAACATTAATATGAATATGTCTGAAGCCGTCAACTTGCCTCTTTGGGGCATTCAGAGCATTCTGGCCATGCTACCTCCTGATCAAGTGCCTCAACATGACATAATGCTCATTGGAACCCCACTGTTGCCTCCACTTTCCATGTCCACCTGCAACATCCCTTTTGCCACCAACATAACATCAATTCCAATGCATCTCAAAACAAATTATCAGAACCAGGAGGGGGCATCAGAAATCTCCAGCACTTCCTTACAAGTATCGGTCCTATGACCTTGTTTGTTGCAGCGCTTGTACGCATAATGTCGCTTGCCCCCACCCTGACGTTGTCCCTCTTTCTTGCAGAGCGTCTGCAGCTCTCTTGAGAGCATTGACAGTAGATGTTGACAACCAAACCATTGGTACTTATTGTTACTCTTTGTGAAGTGGGCAATTGAGTGCCATGTCACTGATACAATCACCTTGTCAGTGGAATGGAATTGCGTGCCAACTTCTAGGAGGGGGGTGTCATTTTTGGCGTTAGGATCTGCCATTCAATCTGGATCAGTCACGTCCTCTCCAGTCTCACACTCTTCATCACAGGAAGAGCCCTCCTCTTCTTCATCCTGTGGCAATAGGAATGGGCAGATGTTGACAGAGTGACCATTGGCTGTGTCATTGCGGATGATATCAAAGGTGGATTTGTTGGTGAGTGAGGATGCCTGTTGCCCAGAGGGAGGGCCGAGAGTGCCAAATTCCATGTCGAAAGAGTGGGTGTAGCTCAAAAGGACAGCAAGACACA